TAAGGCCGGGGACGCCCTCCATCGGACAGCTGATGGGCACCTGCCCGATGTGGCTTTCAGCCTTGCAGGGACCCGAGCCTGCACGGCTGGCCTGCGCCGAGGTCCTGGGCACCTCGCAACCTGCACACGGCCCCTGGAATATCTAGGGCCTGAAAGTACCAAAACTAAACTTTAAAAACAAACAAACCCACAAACAAAACAACAAAGCAAACCCACCAAACCAACCACTTTTAAATTTAAAACGTAATTTGCTACAGGTTGAACTAAACCTTGGCTCTTAGACACATTGTGGCAAGAGAGAGCAGTGCTTGCAGCCACCTAGAGGCACCACTGTTAAGGACAGCTTCTACATCCAGCTCCACTCTGGTTAACTTGGGAGTACAAACTCACATGCTGCTGCGGCTTCTCTCAGCGGCGTCTGCCGTTTCTTTAGTTTGTAGCCAGCGATGTCAGTGAGTCTTCTCATCCAATCTAATTGCTAAGATGGCAGGAACCTCCCCAGATCTAGCAACTGCTTAAATTCACAGCAGTTATGATACACAGCTCTTCTGTAGGACAAGAGAAGAAAATACCAGCTGCCTGAGAAGTAAACACTGAAAATACAGTTTGGAAACTTTCAGACACCTCTACCTAGACTGCTCCCTTTAGAAGTTTGCAAGACCAGTCTCCCCTGTGAATTTCACCTTCCTCTTCTAACAAGCAAGGTTTACTTCTGATGCATGACTAGGTATTTGTGCTGCAAAAAAAACCCTTAAGGCTGTTGCAATCCTTTGGCCTTAGGCAAAATGTGTATGCTCACTTACCCATCCCAGCTGTTCTCCTATTCAAAAAACAACCTGCTGGTTAAAGCAGTTTCCCTTCTCCAGCAATCATTCATTCAGGCTTTTGTTAAGTTGCTTGCTAGTATCACAAGATGGGAAACCTGTTTTCTGTTCCAGTTGAAAAGAGTCCAGTACAGGATCTAACTTGAAGGAACAGATTCCAACTCGTACAGAAATTAGTTGCTGAATTGGAAGAGACAGGGAGTAATTGCTCTAGGGAAGTAATTAAGAGTTATAGCCTTGAGTATTCTAGAACCTAAGTACTTGAAAAACCTTTAAAGGTGATATAGATCTCACTATCCAACCCCTCAAGCAGTGCTATCAGAGTAAGAAAGGTGCTGCTGTAGTAGTAGATCCCTCTCTTGAGGTGTATGAAATTGGCAGTATTGTGCCACAGACTACTTTCTCCTCTTTTCTGCAGCTGACAGGAGACAACTCTGCTGTCTTCCACAGTGATGCTAACTCACGGCACTATACTATGGTGCTCTCAAGACAGGTCAGGAAAAGGAGTGGGTTGTACTGACACACTATTTTGTCTTGGGCCATTTATGATCTCCAGAAAGGTACCTGCCCTTCTATACAAATAAAAATATAGTTGTAACACTGTAAGCTGACAGCCAACAGCAAGACTACACGTTCACTTAAGTAAGCATTTATTAGAGAATCCTTTAACATGAAATTATACAAATAAAGTTTGTATAAACACAAGTCCACATTGTGTCATAACATGAATGGCAAAAAGAAAGTAAAAACCATAAAAGAAAACTAGTCAGCTGCTATGTACAGTTGGACACAGTTGTGTCGTACACTAAAAGTCTTTTACAAAATAGTAATTTCCTCTCACGGAGACCACCCTCCATTCACTCACGATGCGCTGCAAGATGGCTTTGTTGCAGTATCTCTACCTAAAAACCAAGAAAAAATGTTTGTTAGATCTGTGCAAGTTACTACAAGAATCGTTAAAAGGTCCATTTTCATGAACTGCTTTAAGTCTTCTATATATTCCTTTCTTCATTATTAAAGATCATATGCATATTTATTAAGGTAACACAAGAGGTTTTGTTACCCATCAGTAATTTATCTTCCCAAATATAGCCATTCAGCCTATTTAGGAAGCTGTTCCAGAACAAAAACCACATCCAATTTAGACTATTAATCAGGCTCTGGATCAGTTTCTTTTCCACTGGAAAGACTGCCAAAAGGGTTTCCAATTATTTGTTTATCTATCTAAACGACTGCTGTGCAAACACAAGTCAGGCCGATTTAGTTTGGTCCACGTGCATATGATCTTTAATGTTTTTCCAGATTTAAAAGTTCGTTTTGGTTTGCAGATTTCACTATTAGCTATAAAAAGAAAAAAGCAAGCATTAAATCTTAAAGAATGCACACTTAAAATGAGGTTCCACAATTGAAATACAACACTAAACAGAAGACCAAATGATTAAGCTGTAAAGGCATTTATGTACTTTAACTCCTGTAAAAAACCATTTAAGTTAAGACACTTAATCTCCAAAAAGATTAAAAAAAAGAAGCCAAAGTCTGAAGTTTTCCACTTTAATCTTTACGCTGGTACATGAAGTTGGAAGAGACCATACCACAGGACAGCGTTTTCTGGTGTATGCCTTGCGCTCTGCCTGCAACGTGCGACCCCAGAGATAGACGTGGTCAGGGTGACACACGGCCTGCAATGAAGTTCCCGCTGGCGGGTACAAACAAGGTATAATGTCAGAGTTAGAAGACAACATTCTTGTTTTCCTTAAGTTGTACCCATTTCAGTACTTTACCTGTTAATACTTCTAATAAGTTTAATTATTCCTCTAGACCACCTGGTACACAACGCAAAACAGAAAAACTCTTATGTTTTTCTGAAGTACTAAAGAAGATAAAGTCACGTTTTTACAAAGTTAAAGATCTATAGACACTGTAGGCAAAGCTGGTTTTAAAGAAAAAGTATTTTTTAAAGTTAACGAAAGCTTAATTAAAGGAAAAGTCATGCTATGCAAGTTTTTACTCTTCATTTGTCTATTGATCTTTAAATTAGATTAGACATACTCAGAGTGGACCTTGCACTCATGTACACACCTGTTTCCTCAAGTATAGGTACTGCTTTAGTACGGCTGGTAGTTGTTTTGGTGATTGCCGCCACCACGAGAAGCCTTTCCATATGTGCTTTGTTGACCTGTAGATAACAGGGAGGGGGGAACATAAACAACCCAGAAGCATCAAGATTAACATCTAACACTCTGAAAGAAATTGTTCCCATACAGTACACCAACAGGGCTACTCCTTAGAGCCATGCGTTATGAATAAGAGGTGTTACAGAACAAGTTACTAAGAGAGGTCTCTGTTTAAAGATGCATGCTATTGTTATCTGGAATGAGATTAAAACCCACTTACCACTGTAATCCGTGTATCCCGGCCCATATCCGTAATTGGGATAGTTGTACCCAGAGTAGTCATATCCTCCATAGCCACTGTAGCTTTGATCACTATAAGCGCTATTATAGTTTCCATATCCTTGATCATAGTAGTTATTAAATCCTTGATTCCAGTTTTGTCCCTGACCTGAAACCAAATACAGCATTTAAGTTACAGAACTTATTATTTCACTCCTCTCCTATATCACTTCATCTAACTTTCTATGGCAATCTTTCTATGCCAGAACTACTACCTGTAAGAATCCTCTTACCTTCCCAAGAAAAATAATTTTCTAAAAAGAATTGAGGCATCTCATTTGCATATGAGAGATGGGTAATAAGATCTTATCACCCACAACAATGTTAGACAGTAAGTAGTCCAGCTCATAAAACAGACAGAAAAAACAAAACACAACACTGAAGGCATACACTACATGTACTCCCTTAACTTCCATTTGGGACCTTTAATTGCCTGAACACCAAGTTATACCACAGGATCCGCTTTACTGCATTGTGTTGGTTGTGACTGCTTGATTTTTTAAGACTGAGATGTATCAACTTGTAAAGTAACAGCTGATTGTTTCTCATCTATTTGCAAGGTGTAGCAAAGTGACTGTCTTCCTGTTTACCAAATAGCTCATGGTTTCTCACCCAAGAGCCAACCAATAGTGTATCCCTTCATCTGAAAGGATAATTGCACTATCCATTTAGCTATGCTGCCAACTGTGGGTATACAAAAGCACCCTACAACCAGCTTGCCACTTCACCACTTGAGCACAAGCAGAGCAAAAAGAGATTCTTAAGCTTCCACAAGCAACCACAATCATCAAAATACCATTTACTGAAAGGCTACTTTCCACATTCAATTTAAACATGAGATATGCATGCAGCCCAAAACCTGGAATATCTACAAATATCTTAGTGTTTGGTACAGACACTTAAACATGTACATTAATTTCAACATCCAAAACACTCACCCCGTCCACGCCCCCTTCCACCTCCTCGTCCACCAGCTGCATTGCTTTTTCCTCCTTTCTGCTGCTGCTGCTGCTGCCTGTATACCTCTTTGGGCTGTGCTACTTTGATCTCACACTGTAAAGACAGAAATTCTTTAACTCATCAAGAATTTTGAGGCTCAATTTTATGAGGTGCTTTCAGGGAATCCCACAGAGATTGTTTATTTCACATGCTAAGAACAAGAGCTTCCGTACCTTGCCTGAACCAATTTGATGGTATCTGCTTTCTAGTAACTTCTTTACTGGCTCTTCATCTGTGTACGTGATAAAACAGAAGCCCCTCCTTTCATTTGTCTTTGTGTCCATGGGAAGCTCAATGTTTTCAATCTGAAATCAAAAGTACCTATCAAAACCGCATGAAATCTATAAGCCACTTTTTATGCTATCAGAACCCTTCAGCAGTCCAATGTTTATGCCAACTGCTTTTGACAGCTATATATCAGCTCATTACACTATGGAATCATTAACATGCATATAGTTTCAACAATTCCTAGTTTTATGTAAGCCTGAGCCAGCTCTCTCCTAAAAAAATCTTCTGTCTTAAGACTGAGGCAACACTGTACTTGAAAACCAGAGCTTGTGTTATATGTTATCATACTGTACCTCGCCAAAAGCGCCAAAGTACTCCTTAATCTGTTCTTCAGATGTATCTGGACTCAACCCACCAACAAACACTTTTTTTGGTGGCTCCTTCCCTTTTAGAGCTTTTGCCCTTTTAGGATCTATTAGTTTCCCATCCAGTTTGTGTTCCTTGAGTTCCAACACCTAAGCAGCACACAAGGAAACAAAGTCTCAGATCACTACAGTGACCCAGGCAGGCTTTGTGCCATCGATCCACAATAAATCCACCCACCTTCTCCACACTGGCAGCGTCCTTGAAGAGCACGAACCCAAACCCCCTTGACCTCCCAGTGACTGGGTCTGTTTTAATCGTACAATCCACAACCTCACCAAACCGAGAGAGATACTCTGTCAAATCTTTCTTGCTGGTGTCCCAGCTGAGGCCTCCAATAAACATTTTCCTGAAACGCAATAAGTACATAGGAATACGCGTATGTACACGCACACAGCTGGATGCAAATGCACGCGTGGAGCACGGAGCAAGCTCACTCGCGGCCACCGCAAGCCAAAGGCGA